TGTCATTGGCTTTTTGACGCGATCGACCCGGGTTCGATCCCGCCTTTTGCCGAACTTTTTTTCCCTCCCTTTTCAAATCTCGTATTAGCAATGGATTCTATTTACACTAAGTGAAAATAGCAGTATTTTTAGCAATATGCTATTTACACTAAGTGCAAATACCTATTTACACTGTTAAAATAGCAGGATTTCTACTATCAAGTATACTACTTGTTGCAAATAGTGGCAATTATCTGCACTTCAGTATTGTAGTACATTATAAAACAGTATGCAATAACGTATTGAGTGTAAATTATAATTTAAATTTAAATTATTAAATGGATGCCACCTTATTGGTACAATAAAGCCCTCCCTACACCTACCCTAACCCTACCCGATACGATTTTCAACTTTTTGATTATTTCCTTCATTTTTATTGAAAATAAATGCCTTTACGATGTGATACGAGATTTGAAAAGGGAGAAAAAAAAAGTTCGGCAAAAGGCAGGATCGAACCCGGGTCGATCGCGTCAAATAGCCAACGACACGCGCTTATCCATCTGCGCCACTGGAGCTGATGACTTACAGCTACTTTTAACTAAATGTAAATAGACACCCCAAATAAATTTTTATGCAGATTATAAAATTAATCTGCAAACAAACTAATTAGATCAACAAATAACGTGTATGCAGTGCACACTCCCCCTTTCACCTCTCTCCCTCTCACACACACACACACACGAGTGTGCGATTGTCTAAAAGTAGCTAGCTGTGACTTTCTCGCTCTCCTTCCTCATAAATTGCGTCTGCTACTGCATCTGCATTTCCCGACCTTGCTTGCTCAGTCTCTCTCTCTCTCTCTCTCTCTCTCTCTCTCTCTCTCTCTCTCTCTCGTGCAGATGTCAGGTCAGTTTAAATTAGGTCAGCGCTCTCAGAGCGTCTGTTCTCTCCCTCTTATTTCAATTGCACTTCTTTTTTGACATGCTCCACGAATTCCCTTCTCTAATGTAACTCCCCCCTCCTCATCTTTCTGCTTCTCCCATCACTCTGTAATTTCCTTAACTGTGCCTTTCTACTAGCCTCCTTTTTTCCCCCCGATTTCTCTTTCGCTCCCTCCTTCTTGCCCTCCCCTTTTCCCAGCCTCCCCCACTCTCTCCTCTGAAGATGTAATTTTGTAGTTGCCGTTCCCTAACAAGAAATCATTGTGCTTTCCTGGGAAGGGATGTGATGGATGGATGCAGAAGAGTTGGGGGTGGGGTCTATTCCTCCTTTTTGGAAAGTGGGGGGTCTTTCTACAGCCAGTAATTCAGTGAACCCAAAAATTTTAATATTGTCAGGTTTACTCACCCAATCATATATTGACATATAAGAGATATTTTGAAGAATGTGATGGTTGCTCTTTTACAGGCAATTACAATGAATTCAAAAAGAATGCCAAAAATGCAGAAAAGCGTCATTGAAGTATCAAATTAGTCATACCAGTGTTATTTTTGTATCACTGACATAGGCCTACTTTTATTTTATTATTAATACTTTGAATAAGTAATTTTCTGATTTAAATGTTTAAGGTTTTAGTAATTTTGTTGTGTTTTTCTTTTTTATTCATTTTTTTGTTTATTTATTTATATTTAAATGGGCTGAATTCAGGTTAAGTGGGACACTTTGTATTTGACCCTTCACAAAAAGCCACCCTCCTTAGTTACTGTTGCTATGTCCGACAACTAGCCATGCCTCTCTCACACTACACATCATGTTCTCACGAAGTAAAAAATACATCGCGGAGCAAAGAGGAAACTGACAACACGCCGACAGACAAGACAGAACCGGTTACTTTTGGTATAAAACAAGGTCTCAGCTTTAAAATTTTGTGTCGTGACAGATCCTTGTATTGCCTCAGTTCAAGCGGCACCGAACCGATCGTCTTCATATTTACTTAAAGCATGAAATAAACATGAATGAACATCAAAAAGTATTTTATTTCAACTGCAGAAAGACGTCAATGCACACATTTTTTCAAGTTTAAGTCCACCGAAGTTAATCTACTCTCCTGTCTGATTTGTTTGTCGAGCAAGATGGCGGATTTGGCTTTATGATTGGTCAGATCGCCTGGCAATCAAGCTCTTTGTGAACGGTCAGTTAGAGATGACGGGAAAAATGGCCATACTAATATAAACTAATATAAATATTAGTTTATAATATCCCGTTCCCTCCTGAAGGAGGGAACGGAGACGTCACGTCGGATGACCGACGAATTGGGATCTCGCTTAGAGAGACCAATCTACTTCGAGTGTAAACTAAACGAGCCAATGCACATTGGCATGCGATTATTGCATCCAGCTGCCGCTGATCACAGCGTGAGTATAAGTAGGCAGCAGATGCAGCGCATATTCAGGTTTTCGCTGAGGAGCCGAGCCGGTGACCCGGCCGCTC